GTGGCCAGCTCAGCCCACCAGGGGGCGGGGCTGGCTGGCATGTGGTGCTGGGGGATTGAACCGTGGTCCCTGTGCTTTTTTGCTAAGCTTGTTCTAAGTAGGTGATTTAGACCACTTGCTCAGTCATTTTTCATGGAGTTCTTTTGTAACAAATGGCCTCTGTACCAGGGCTGGCACAGTATGTTACTTTCAGACTATTTTGGAAATGTTCTGGAGGTATCAGAGTATTATTTTATATAGGAAAAGCCTGAGTGCCCTACCAGACCTCTGCATTTACAGCCTTGCTTTAAGAAGGAACACAACCAAAAATAAAAAGTGGTTGAAATCTTAAGATTTTTGTTACTGTGGTTATTGCTAATTTTTTTTTTTTTTTTTTTTGCGGAACTGGAGTTTGAACTCAGGCCCTTGCATTTACCAGGCAAATGCTTATTCTGCTGAGCTATCTCCCTAGTCCCAGTTATTGCTATTAATTGCCAATGATTCTGCTTTCTGGAAAGATCAAAGAGAGAAGTAAATATGTAATTTATTGTGGGAATCATTGTAACATATAAAGAATTTACTGTGGGAGTTCAATATAATATGTAAATAAGTTCCTTAGTCAAATGTTACATTAATTTAGAAGTTACATTACAGATGTATTTTGTTTCATTTCTACCCCTTCAGGTAAAGGTTGATTTGATTGAACTCTCTGAAAGATGCTGTAGTGATTTTGACCTGCACTCAGAATTGGAGCGCTCCTTTCTGTCAGAGCCATCATCTCCAGGGAGAACTAAGACTACTAAAGGATTCAAACTTGGAAAACATAAGCATGAGACCTTTATAACTTCAAGGTAAAATTTATTCCATTGAAGATCTTATTTGTATATTTTAAGGTAGATGCAGAACTGATAAAGAAGTTGATATAGCACTTACATCCTGAATGTTTAAAAAAAAAAAAGTCTTGAATGTTGTTTGGATTTTTTTTAAGATAATAAGTGTGGGACTAAGGGTATAGCTTAGTGGTGGAGCATTTGCCTAGCATGCATGAGGTCCTGGGTTTGATCCCAGCTCCAAGAGGGTGCTAGGGATTGAAGCCCAGGCTGCATGCTTGCTAAGCATGTGCTTCACTACTGGGCTACATCCAGCTTTTGTTATATTGTTCATTATCGAAGTTTGAAATGTTTGAACAGTGAGTGAACTGGATTGCTTTTAAAATGGTTAGTCATTAATACAGTGTATCATTTTTAGCTAGTTTACTGTTTACATGAAAAAGTAATACAGACACTTGCAAAATTAACAGTTCAAATAAGAAAAAATGAAATCTGGTTTTCAATATTGTACATACTATTATATTTTCATTGGATATATGAGAAAAAAATGTTTTCATGGAGTGTTTTTGTTTTAATAGTGGAAAATCTGAGTACATTGAACCTGCCAAACGAGCTCATGTTGTGCCACCACCAAGAGGAAGGGGCAGGGGAGGATTTGGACAGGGCATACGACCCCATGATATTTTTCGTCAGAGAAAACAGAACACAAGTAGACCACCTTCTATGCATGTGGATGACTTTGTTGCAGCTGAAAGTAAAGAAGTGGTCCCTCAAGATGGAATACCCCCACCAAAACGGCCACTCAAGGTATCACAGAAGATTTCTTCTCGTGGTGGATTTTCAGGCAATCGAGGAGGACGCGGTGCTTTTCACAGTCAAAATAGGTTTTTTACACCACCTGCTTCTAAAGGTAAGTATTTATATGTATTTTCTAATTGGAATTTAGAATATGGGGCCAATTATATAGTGCAGAGGGCCAGCAAGCATAAGATCGTGAGTTCAATTTGCGATACAAGGAAAAAATATACGGGAATATAAAAATAAATGGGTGACAAAGAAAAACTCAGAATACATTATTTTTGTATTACTATAGTTGAGCTGATTGTAGACCAATACTAAACCAGTAGTACTCTTTACAGAGTACTCTTGAATATGGGGAGGAAACTTTTTAAAGTTAACCTTTGATATACTATGCTTTTTGAACTAGTGAGTTCAAAGAAATTTTGGGCCGAGTGTGATGGTGCTGCATGGCTGTAATCCCAGCACAAGTTCAAGGTCAGCCGGGCTGCGTATTGAGTTCCAGGCCAGCCTGAACTACATAACCTGTCTCAACCACCCGCCCCCATTTTGGCGTGGGAAGTTAAAATTTCACTTTTACGCTAAGAATTTTTTATCCTTCCTAAGCAGTATCTGTAGATCATTTCTACAGCTATACTTCTTACCACTTCCCTTAAGATTGTTCTCTATAGTTCACCATTGATTCTCTTTTCTGTTTGCTTCCTAGTGTTATATTTAATCTGCTTTAAAGTTATTTCAAGATTTTAGAAAGTACCTTATTTTAGAGAAATTAGCTTTTCTTTTTTGAATTTTCATTCATTTTAATGAGAAAAAAGAAAATAGCAATGAAATAGTTTTAAAACAGGTTATTAGGACATTTACAGTAATTAATACGTTGCATATTGTTGTCTTTGTAGTAAGTATTCAGAGGACAAGATGCAGACATGGTACCTTGTCTAAACAATATTAGTACAAAGAGAAATTATTTTTTCCTGGGGGATTGATGACCTTTATTCTTGCTTGCTATTTTAGGAGGGTGGGAGTAAAGAGAATAGCTTACATTAAAACAGTTCCAGACACTTACATAGGGATGTCAGGAACTGTTTTAAACACTATGTATAGTACATTCATGCCCACCCCATAAGATCTGTAGTATTCCACTTTACCAAGGAGAAGATTGTCATTGAGCTGGCCAGGATACATAAATGGAAGTGGCAGAAACAGTATTTAAACTGTAGCAGTCTGGGGCCTGGGAGATGGCTCAGTAGAATAAGCACTTGCCTGGCAAGTGCAAGGACCTGAGTTCAATCCCCAGTTCCACCACCACCACCACCAACAAAAAAACATAAAAATAAACTGTAGCAGTCTGGTTCTAGAATCTCTTCTGTTAACCACTGTGAGACTTCCATTATGCATTGTATTCAGTTTATAGAATTTATTTGTTTCCTGGGCCTGGGAAGATAGCTCAGTAGAATAAGTGTGTCCTGAGTTCAATCCCCAGTACTGCAAAAAAGAAAAAAAAAAAGAATTTGTTTGTTTCCCATCCATTGATTTTGAAGATTAAGAGAAACCTGTCCAGTCCTTTTTAATCCAGTACAGTAAGTACATGAATTTCTTGTTTTATTTGATGTAGGGAACTACAGTCGTCGGGAGGGAGCAAGAGGCTCTAGCTGGAGTGCTCAGAGTACTCCTCGAGGCAGCTACAGTGAAAGTCGAGGAGGCCAGAGCAACTTCAACAGGGGCCCTTTGCCCCCGCTGCGGCCACTCAGCTCTGCAGGTACGGGCACCTCGCTGCTGTGGACGCGCTCCTTCTGTTCAGACTGTTCTGTGTTGTGGATATATACTCTCACTGGGGAGAGGGAATTTAGGAATATGGACTGATAATTCTACAGTTAAGTTTGAACCATCAAATTTGTGGATTCTAAACTATTTGTATAATCTGAACAGTTTCATAGTGTTGTGCTATATTTCAGTACTGAAAACTAATCTGAGGGTACTTTTTAAATCATAAGATGTTTTGATCACTTGTCATCTTATTTTGGTTTTGTTTACTCTGTTGTGGGTGTAAGTACATATCTTCTGTTAAAAAATTACATTACTGAGGCCAGGGAGATGGCTCAGTGGAGTAAGTGCTTCCCTCACAAGTGCAAGGGCCTAAGTTCAATCCCCGGTTCTGCCAAAAAAAAAAAAAAAAAAAAAAAAAAAAAAAAAACTACATTACTACATCAACTTCAGGGTTTTCATTAGAAATAGCTTTGTTTTTAAATGATTTTTGTCACAGTTTTATTTAGTATATACTTCTTTTTGGTGGAACTGGGGGCTGAACTGAGGCCCTTGCACTTGCCAGGCAAGCGCTTATTCTATTGAGCCATCTCCCCGGCTCCTTTAGTATATACTTTTGTATGTTATATACTTTGCTGTAATGTTATATGATATGCTTTTGTGTAGCATATATTTTAAAATATCTAATTCAGTAATCTTTAATATACTCACTGAACTTTTATATGAAATTTTTAAAAGCCCAAAGTAATTCTTGCTTTGAGATCAGGGTTGTAGATTAGTATTTATGTAGTGGGAAAGGATGTGGAAGTAAAATTGTACTGTTTCCTTTTAGGCTACCGACCAAGCCCGCGGGATCGAGCTTCCAGAGGCCGCGGGGGCCTTGGGCCTTCCTGGGCCAGTGCAAACAGTGGCAGTGGAGGCTCCAGAGGGAAGTTCGTCAGTGGAGGCAGTGGCAGAGGTCGTCATGTGCGGTCCTTTACACGATAAAGTGCTTTGGGAACATCTCAAGGGTACACAGACATTTCATGAGGACAATAAAAATGAGACATCGGAGGACCAATTTAGACTTAGCTATTATCTGGAGACATCTGAGAGAATATTTTTATCTGAAGAAAGCAGATTTTGTTTGATACCTAACGTGAGATTTCAATAAAAATCCAAACTTTGTATGTATGTTTGTATATATTTTTCCTCTTTTTGTATGACTATTTATTTAGAAAATTTCTAGGTAGAAAGAAAAACTAAATGACTTCTTTTGTATTTTTCTTGCTATACCACAGATGTTTCTGATCTTTAAGCCCATATTATTCTTTACTGTCTCATTAATTTTTCACAGCATATATAGGCCAAAAGAAATACTTAGAATTTCTGTTTATTAAAATAGGTCTAAGCAGTTCAACAATTCATCACTTCATCACTACTAGTATCTTTGGACACTGTACAAAACCTTGGAATCAGTTTCCTTTCCCACTTCACTATGCTGCTTTCACAGTGATTTTTGTCAAACTGTTGAAAGTTTTGCAAAGATACACTGTCACAAAAAGGAATATAATGTTATCTAATTTGGGAAATGTAAACTACCTCGCATTAGTAGTCTGTGGTGTCCATCAGGTATTCCTATGTTTCCTCAAAAGTTTTAAATATTTGGTGATTCCCATGTTGATTTTCCAAGGTGCCCTGGTATACAGTTTGGTAACCATAGCTGTACCAAAAGAAACAAAAATACTTCTTTATGTTAGAAAGAAGTACAAACTTAATTTATGTTTCAGCTTTAAACCTACTGATGTTATTTATATACTTAAAGTCTAAAATGAGACATCTAATTCTGTAATTTTGAGACTCAGAAACATCTAATAAAAGCTGGACTTTATATTTAGAAATAAAGCTTCTGACTTTGACAAAGTAGCCATATTGTCCCCAGGTATGTCATAACACACTGAGCCTATATAATTGGCATAAAATACAGAGTACTCTTGAAAAGTAAGTGTATGAGTCTTATTCGATCCTTTTATCACTCTGTTTTGGTGAGTTCTTTGTGAGTGAAAAAAAAAATCTGTTCATTAGGAAAACAACTTAAGGGGCCGGGAGATGGCTTAGTAGAATAAGTGCTTGCCTGGCAAGTGCAAGGGTCTGAGTTCAATCCCCAGTTCTGCAAAAACAGAAAAAGAAAAAAAGGAAAGCACCTTAACATCCGCTCTAAAGACTGTTAAGTCAAAAGTAATGGAGATCTTCATAATTTCTGGCCTTGCAAAGCCCAGTGTCTTAGTCTGCTCATGCTGCAGTAGCAAAATACCGCAGACTACATGGGCTGAGCTACAAGATTCTCACAGTTCTGCAGGCTCCAGAAGGCCAGGCCTAAGGTGCAGCTTGAGTGGGTTCTACCAAGGCTGCCCAGCTGTGTGCCTGCATGATTCTCCTCAGTACATGCTTGAGGAAAGAGACAGCTCTTGTCTTTTCTTCTTCTGGTATGTACAGTAGTCCTAAGTGTCCTCCCCTTAGGATCTGATTGGAACTAGTTCCCAGAGTGCCCAGCTCCAGTGTCAGATTGGGGCGAGAACTTAAACATGGGTTTTGGGGAGTGCAAGCCGTTGGCCCATAGTACCAAGATGACCCAAGCTCCAGTTATAAAATTAATAGTCTCATCCTCTATAAAGACAACTTTTTACATATTATGTAGAATTAGAAATTTGTCCCTGATATCTGATACAAATATGAGTAAAAAGCATTTAAATTTTTTAATTGATTAATTTTAAATAAATTTTTTTGTATTGGGAATTGAACTTAGGACCTTGGGCTTGCCAGGTAGATGCTGTGCTGCTGAGCTGTATCCCCAGTCCCCAATATTTTCTTTTTTCAGACAAGGTCTTGATATGTAGTTCAGGCTGTCCTTCCTTCCTTCCTTCCTTCCTTCCTTCCTTCCTTCCTTCCTTCCTTCCTTCCTTCCTTTTTTTTGTAACCGGGGATTGAACTCAGACCCTTGCACTTGCCAGGCAAGCACTTACTCCACTGAGCCATCCCCCTGGCCCCCAATTCAGGCTGTACTTGAATTCACTGTGTAGCCTAGGCTGGCCTGCAACTGGGCAATCCTCGTACCCCAGCTACCTGAGTGATGGGATTATAGACATGTCACCACCATGCCTGGCAGTAACTTTCTTAGCCTGTGACTTTATATGTAGATAAATAATTAAATTCTTAGAGCATTAAGCTGAATATAATCTTTGAGAAATAACAGTACTGTTTCTTCCATTTATATCTTTTAGATGCAGTGCAGGTCAGCCAGGTTAACAGTTTATCAGTGTAGAAAGAAGCAAGTTAATACCAGGAATATTGAAAATGACATGAGTATCTTAAAAGTCTTAGATATATCAGAAGGGAAGGAATCTATGTTGATCACCTCGTTCAATATAACAGTCTAGCAAAGGAGATTTAATCCTAATTTTATAGTTGGTGGGGTCCTGCCCAATTAGCTCAGTTGTTTAAGTGCCTGCTTAAACAAAACAGTCAGGCTCAGGATGCTGTGGTTCAATTCCCCAGATCCTCAAGCCTTACCAGACCTGCCCTGGAGGCATCCTGAGCCAGCCCCTCCACCCCCCAAAAAATCCTAATTTTACAGTTGGAGAAAGCTAGAGTTTAGGTTAAAGATACATTTTTTTGTTTGTTTGAGGTAGGATTTTGCTATATGGCTCAGGTTGGGGTTAAACTCAAGCCTGGCTCAGCTTCTGGAGTTCTAGGCGATAACTTGTGGGCCATCGTGCATGGTAGGAACAAGATTTGAAACCCAGTTGGTTAGTTCCTAATTACCTTTTATCTTGGGCAGGTAAGAAACTCTTTTAGGTTAAGTGTTACTTAGCTGAATTAATTCATCATATGGAAATGGAGTTGGAAAGCTAACATTGTGCTCACTTTAGAAGGGAACCAGATAAGTTGTCATTCTATAATATATATATATATATATATATATATACACATTTGGTGGGGGGGACTGGCTCAGCCTGTCCTGAAGGCGGGGCTGTCATGGCATGTGGTGCCAGGGATTGAACCACAGTCCCCTACCCCTGCCTAACCTTTGCCTAAGCAGGTGCTTTAGACCGCTGAGCTATCTTGCCAGCCCCTATAAAGTATATTTTGGCAAAACGGATGTGTTACTTGTAGGACTTTTGATTTACGTAAGTTTTTTTTTTTTTTTTTTTTTTGCAGAACTGGGGATTGAACTCAGGCCCTTGTGCTTGCCAGGGAAGTGCTTATTCTACTGAGCCATCTCCCCAGCCCCTGATTTACGTAAGTTTTGAGAATTTAGAAATTTTTGGGGCTGGGGAGATAGCTCAGTAGAATAAGCTCTTCCCTGGCAAGCACAAGGATCTGAGTTCAATCCCCGGTTCCACCAAAAAAAAAAAAAAAATTTTTGAGTGGTATTTATCAATTAATGGGAGCTGGGTGTGGTGGTACAGGCTTGTTATGACAGCACTCAGGAACCTGAGGCAGGAGGATCACCATGAGTTTGAGGCCAGTTTGGGCTACATAGCAAGACCCTGGCTGAAAAAAACAGCAGGGATGTAGCTCGGGCACAGAGCCTGCCTGGCAAGCGTGAGGCTCTGAGTTTGATTTCTGGTACAAAAATCAAAAAGCCCCAAATTACTGGAAGATGCAGAGTATGTTTGAGAACAAAGCTTAATCAGCAGCACAAGGAGTTGACAGTGATTTGTGCTTATTTCCCAAGGGGGAAAAACACTGAAATATTGCTTCATTTAAAAACTGCTCTTGGTTACCTTTGTGTGTGAATCATTAGCAGTTCCAGATAATTAGTTTTAGTCCTTTAATGTGAAAATTCCTGGAAAAATCTACAAGATGTGAATATAGGAACTAGATTGTACCTTGAGCATCTTGTGTGTTCTCTGGACCTTAGTTCAGTCTTTGAAATAGGAAACTTGCTTCGAATGAAAGCAACAATTGGGACCAGGGAGATGGCTCAGGAGAATAAGTGCTTGTCCGGCAAGTGCAAGGGCCTGAGTTCAATCCCCGATTCCGCAAAAAAAAAAAAAAAAAAAAAAAAAAAAAATTAACAATCTTGTAAACACTTAATGAGTGTAAGAACATAGAACAGTTCAGATTTTGTTACGTTGAGGGGCCTTGCTATGTTATGTGGTCCAAGCTGGTAGTCTGCAACACCCCTGCACTCATTAGCAATATAAACTGTCAGCTCAGCCCAGGCCTCCTGTGGAGTCCAAGACTGCAGGTGGAGTCCAGGGAGCCACGTCTGAGCAATCCTGCAGGACTTGGATGCCATCCTGCATGGAATACAGGGTTGCACTTGTCTGCTTGCAGCAGTTCCCTAGTCCTAGGGATTGAGCCCAGGGTCTTCACACTGAGTGCCTTCCCAGCCATTTTAAAATTCAAGACAGGTCTTGCTAAATTGCCCAAGCAAAAGTTGAACTTGAAATCTTTCTGTCCCAGTCTTCCCAAAGGTGTGGGATGACAGACCTGAGCACTGTGCAGTTTAATGGGTGCATTCTGTGAGACTCAAACTGCTTTAGAGACACAGGCATAAGGTGAAGATCCTGTTCCCCTATAGCTTGCTTCTGAGAGGAATAGAAAGCAAACAAGTACATGCAAGTGAGTGGAAAGTGTGAAGAAACACTATAAAGCAAGGTAGGGAGGAGCGCGGGCCACGACACAGGGTCTCTTGTTCAAGATGGTATGTGAGGGCCGGGGATATAGCTCAGTGGTGTAAGCACCTGCCGGGCAAGTACAAGGTCCTGAGTTTGATCCCTGGTACCACCAAAAAAAAAAAAAAAAAAAAGAAAAGAAAAAAAAGATGGTATGTGAATAGTGAGCTGGACGAAGAGGGAGTAAATGGCCAATCTGTTTTAGAATATCTGGACTTCCCAGATAAGAGGAAGGTAGTTCCCAGACTGTCAGAGGGCTGCTTTGTTTCCTAGTCATTTTATTTCTTGTGTCCCCCCAAAACCAAAGAAGTAGGTCCCAAATTCCATCTCTGTGACTACAGTCTGAGGAATCAACAAAAGCACAACTCATAAAGTGTCTCTTTAGCACTGGTCAAAGTGCCCAGGGTAAAAGCTCTTTAAACATACACATTTTTTCATTTTACTAGGTGTTGTCAAAATACACATTTATTAAATGGCTATACCTATTTACACTCCTACTAGTAGCATAAC